TATTTTCAATTGTCTTCCAAAATATTTTAAAAAATTAATAATACATATGAAAAATAAAAAGATCTTATTATTCTTAGAAGAATTATGGAGTCATTTGTATATAGAAGAAACTAACACTGATCTTAGGAAGTGATAAGAATTTGTGAATGAAACACTCATGATGAGGATCTATAATATCTATCACAATAAGCTTCATCATGGACCTTTACATCAATAAAGATAAAATCGAGGTAAAATATAGGGCCTTCAAGAATCTCAATATTACCAACAATGATTCATACAAGATTTAATTATTTGTTGTCGTTGCGACAAGGAAGGACATACTTCAAACATCTATCAAGCACTTGCCAATATGATCCTTTAACAAGGATATTCCAACTTTTACTTCAATATTTATCATACTCTTGAAAATTCAAGTATTTTTACCTCCATACAAACATCTTATAACAATTATGGAATTAATATCATAGAAGAATAATATGGAGATAATATTGTACTTGATCTACTAAGTAATTAAACTATCTTAGGAGCTTTCAAATTCCTAGCATTCAATGATAAGAATAAAAATGAATATATCATAGACTTTGATGCTTTGAAGTACTTTACTAAAAAAAATTTGTTCTTTGACTATATAGATTATTACCTTAGAAGTTTAATAACCTCACTTGAGAACAATGCCTATGTAATTACAAGACAAGAGACAATACATGTATCTATGTCCAATAAAGAAATAAAAATCTTCAAAGAAATTTGCTATGTCTTTGGTCTTAGAGAAAACATTCTATCTATTAGATAAATTACAATTGTTAGAAACTTTTGCATCTTTGGATCTATATAGTGCTTTATTATCTCAACTAATGAAGTATAGAAAATCATAGGAAAAGGCAAACGGGATCTTAATAATGATTTTTAAAAATTAGAACAATTAGCTACACCCAATTTCAATATTTATACTACTAAGATTGATAAAACAGAGTCACTAAAACATAATGCAAAACTCTTCAAATTAAAAACCTCTTTTATTAATAAATATGTTGATTCTCTCATTTCTCTTTAACACTTTGAATTAGATCATTTGAAATATAAAAGCCTCAAACATCTTAAAATCAATGACCTAGTTCTAAGACTTCTTTGCTTCTTTGTCAAAATCCAATCATGTAATTTTTATTATTAAAGTAAACAAACTAGAAACCAAATCCCTAAGATAGCAACAAATAGGGCCAAAAAATCTTTGAAACTTATATATATTGATATGTGTGGACTTCTACTAATCAAATCTCTAATACATTTTTATTACTTTATAGTATTTATTAATGATTTTTTCAAAAAATCTTGGATTTATTTTAGATTTCAAAAGACTAATTTTTTGGTAGGTTTAATAAATTTCACATAATGGTTGAAAGACAAACTTCTAACCAAATCTTATTAGTTCATTTTGACAAAGGAAGAAAACTCATATTACATAATTTCACTAAGTACTTACAAGACCATAATATCATTTATCACTTGATTGTTATTTGCATCTAACAACAAAATGGGATATTAAAGTGACCAACAAAACACAATGTGGAGATGCCACCTTTTTATTTTATTAACTTATTTTCTATTGAAGTGACTTATTATAGTATAATGTAGGTCTTTAAAGCATTCATTATAATAAAGTAGATCATATCACTTCCAATATCTAAGTATTACATACAATGGATATGATATTTGTAGCCAGAAGGGATGTTGGAAAAATGATCAACTAAAGTAGTTTTTTGTTACTTTACATCCATCTATAAATGAATTTTTATGTAGATGAATGTATGTCATCATCATGTATTATATATCATTTTTGATATATTATACATCATAAATTTGATATATTATACATCATAAATTTGATATATTATATATTATATTTGATGTGTGATAATGCATAATTTTTGTTAATTTAATTTTTTATTGATAATGTCTAAAGTGACACTTTATACACTTTATATCATTTATATTTTATATCACAAAATTAATATAAATATTTATATTAAAACTCTTTAAAGTATTATTTATCCTTAAAATACTTTTATTTGATAAATACCAATAAATAAAGAATATGTATTAATTATAGTTAATATCTTTATTAGCTTTATTTCAAATAACTTGTGATTAATTTGATTTTTTATTATATTTTTAATTTTATATATATATATATATATATATATATATATATATATATATATATATATATATATTACTTCAAAAAAATTATTCATCTATATATTAAAATTTTAAAATATTTACAATAATATTATGATATTATAGTCTATTACTACTAATAATAAAAATTACTAAATAATGATTTTTTAAAAAATCTTAAAAATCTTAGAACTTACTTAGTTGGTCTTTATTTTAATATTTAAAATATAACATTTTCTATGATTTAAATCAATATTGCATTCACATAGGTAAATATCTTTGTTAAGCTCAAAATAATGTTTATAAACATATATATATATATATATATATATATATATATATATATTTACTTACTCATTTATTTATTTTTATATATCTTAGAAGTAATTTATACTTACCAAATAAGATGAGAAATCACAACTTTTAAGTGTTTTATTTGGTTAAAATCAAAAAAAAAAAAAAAAAAAAAAAAAAAAAAAAAAAACTTTCTAAATTAGCTTTATACTTCAAATGATAAGTCTAAAAGTCATAAGAAGAAAAAAAATGAGGTAGGATACAATTTTTTCTCATATTAATTAATAATATTGTTGTCTAAAATTTCTATTGGATCCACTTCAAAAAGGTAGTTAAAAAAATAAAAATTATTTTATTAATCTTTAAAAATGACTATAAATTATATATATGTATATCAAAAACAAAAAATTAAGTCAAAATCATAATATATTTTTATCTTAATATTTTATATTTCTTTTATAAATTCATTATCTTTCTTTAATAAAATTTCTTCACTGTTTTTTAATATACTTTTATACAATTATTTTGTGCATGTTTCTTTTCAACTTTTCTTTATCATTTTGTGTATATTAAAGGTGGTTGCTTTAGATGTTCTTACCATTAAATTTTGCATCATTCATTTTATTATAGAAGAAAAAATATAACATAATAATTTAGTTTTTTTCTACTCTTTATTATTCTATGCATAATCAAACTATCTCTATTTATAATTTTAAATATTTTTTCAATATAAGTTAATTTAAAGATATCATGTAATAAAAAAATACATTCAACATAAATATTTTATATGTCAATCTATTATAGATTTGGTTATATACTTTAAAGTTTATAATCTTAATAATTAACTAAAGTTTAGACTCAAAACAAGATTTCTATGTAGTATTCATGAAAAAACAATAAAAATCAAAATCACGTTCAACTAAATTTCTATGAAATAAATTAATGTATCAATTAAAATACTAATCAAGTAAAAAGTATATAATTAATTAAATTAAATTTTTAAAGAATAAAAAATATATATATATATTATAATATAAATTAAAAATTATATATTCTTTCAAATAACTATTATAAAATATCATTAAAAAATAAATCTAATAAATAATTTTCCTTAAAAAGATAATAAATAAAAGAAATAAGAAGTAAAATAAATGATATAAAATAATTTAAATCAAAAAATATAAATTTTATTCATAAGAGTTGAATTTATAAATGACTAAAATTAATATCTATATGACTATATATATATAATTCTATTTTTTAAGATAAATGACTTTAAGATTAAGATTTGTTGCAATAACAAATCAATTGCTTAAAAGATTTTAATTTATGTAACTTATTTTAAATACAACCAAGTAAGAACATGGACATTAGAAATGGGTATTGGAAACAAGGATGGAGGGATTCAAGTTGCAAGACAAGGACTGGAAACGATGGATGGAAGACATAGAATAAGGTTGGGAAATAGGGGCTTTGAACAAGAGACAAGAGCTAGGAACAAGGTATTGAGAATAGAAACTGGGAAAGAGAGACAAAGATGAGGAATGGACAAAGTTAAGAAACAAGAGCTAGGAACAAGGTATTGAGAATAGAAATTGGGAAGGAGAGACAAAGATGAGGGATGGACAAAGTTAATTAGGAGATGGCAAGGGAGGCTAACAAAATTGAGGTGTGGCTTTAACAACTTCTCATATATATATATATATATATATATATATATCTTATAATTATATAAATCAAGATATAGATTGATATATTTAGACTTGTAATAAAATAATAATTTGGTGACTTCTTTTCATATTTTCTTATATCTTAAGGAAAAGGCTTCTCTTCATCAAGCAATGGACCTTAGTAAGGCTTTTGAACCATGGTCTTTAATAAATAGGCTTTTAAAAAAGATGTGCTTCTTATATATCAAAGACAATGATATTTGTTTATTTACATCCATCCAAATGATATTACATCTCTTCATGCATCCATTTACTCATTTACCCATTTTTAAGTTTGTTCCAAAATTTCTAATTATATTCTACCTATGTGTACAATTTTATCCCATTTTACCAAATCCTATGTAAGAAATAAGGCATGGATATTATCATATATTACCTAAGCAATTTCAGTACCACCAAAGTTGGTCAATGGTTTGTTCAGGAATATAAAATGTTATGATACAACTAGTCCTCTTGTCCTCTACTTAAAAACAAAATAATGAACAACTCTAGTATGTACAAATATAACTAATTGAATGAAGCAAAACCTACATTCACACTGATCGTCTCCACTCCCGTTCACACTTGTATTGTGTTCAAAGTAAGGTTGCGCTCACACCAGTGAATACCTCTGGCTTACACACACGTATCGCGTTCCAACTGCCATGGCGATTAGAACGAGGCTCTCGAATCGACCTCAGGAGCGTTCACACCGCCATGTTCCGTTCACACCATCCACACAAGTATCGCGATGTGCAAGTGGGTGCACTGTTCACACGGGTCATTAATTCTTCCGCGTTCACACAGGAGAGGGAATCCGTTCTTGTTGCATTCCCACGCTCTAGAGGTCGCGGCGAGCCTCTTCGAATCGTCGTTCTGTAGCCATGCTCGATCGCTCGCAGGCCCGATTTGCAGGTAGTAATCCTGTGGCTTCGCATTTCTAGTGTTGGGTATATGAATACCGATTGTGGGTAAGACAAACATGAAAGAAATGGGTTGGATTTAGGGTTTAGGGCTGAGCTAGTGAAATCGCTACGATCCATGAACGTGCTGGATCAGATTGTGGGGCGAGTGCAGTCTTTGTGTGTGTATGTGTGCGAGTAGGAACGATGTCTCGTGTCTCAGCAGTTTACTTGAGCAAGCGGATAAAGTTTTTGCACGCTTGCGCTCTTCGTCTCCGTCATTCCTTGTTCGTTTCCCTCGTCTCGTGTCTTTATTTTGCTAGCTTCTGTTGTTAATGGCGTCAGTTTGGTGAATAGGGTTCGCGGGTCTGAACCTAGTTGGACGAGTCTGGACATTGCTGATTGGATAAAGATGTGATTGAAGGAATATACAGCGAGGCTTCATGATGTGGAACATTCAGCTGGGAGCAGTTCGAGTTATTTTTCTTTTTCTTTTCTTTTCTTTTCAAGTCGGATCCCTGCTTTCCTTTGTGTTTGTGCTCCAGAACGAATTCTTGTGGCAGCTGACAAGCTTAGGTTTGGATTCAATGATACCCCCGTATCTGCAAATAATGAGCTAACTGTTTGGTTTACTGTGGGATTTTACAGTGGGATGAGCTGATTTTCTTAATTGAATTGCTCCTTGATATTGATTTCACGACGAGTATGTTTGTAGAACCTATTGATGTGCTTGAATTGCACTGCCTTTTACAGACTCTTCACTCCTTTGCTTCGAAGCCGCGGATGGTCACAGTTTCACTTTTAACAACTTTTGCCGGAGATTAAAGGAGCAATCAATATTCTTCAAGGAACCTATGCGCGTCATTCTGCCCGTGAATACTTGACTACCATTCACGCATACTCTCTGCAGATGTGATGTTTGTCCAAATGCTATGACTCCTGTCGTATTGTCTATGAGGACTGCATGTTTGAAACTGATACAAAAACAAAAAAAAACAAAACGAAAAACGAGCTGCACTCAATCCTGGGACTCCCTTCTGCATTGCTACCGTGGGTAGGCTCTGCTTACTTCTACTTTAAAAGCAACATTTACACTATCCAAAATCAATATCAGAGAGAAAATATTTAAAAACCCCTATTTTGTACTCACTCTTCTCATTCTTGTGTCGTGATGGTGTCTCAACACACTGGGGTGCTCGACCCACCTGATGAGGATTTTTGTGATTGCAGGGGAATGATCTACATTGGTTTGAAAATTCTCTGCAAGGCGTAGGAACTCTTCCAACACGAATTGCGTCTCTATTCCCAAATCAGAGTAACCTATCTATTAGAAAAGCATTATCAAGTGCTTAGTTCGTCTTTGAGAAGAATAGAATCATTCACCTTTTGATACTCATTGGTATCAGTTTGTTGCTGAGACTGCTATAGCTCCCACGACAGCCCTGAGTGCTATTCACTATTGCAGCTTTCAGGAAGATGGGCGTGTTTCACTAATACAAAATGGTAAGTCTGAGAGCAGTCTGAAACTTGGTCGTTCTAATTTGAAAAGAAATAGTTCGTATGAGGATAGTGGATTAACTGTGTTCAATGATGTCTAATGAGTCTTCGTCCACCTGATATCGTACAGGTCCCTCCTCATCCGTAGTGTATCCTGCAGTTGTACTAAGAAACCCAAAATCATGTCTTTGATTATGTCCCATATTTTTTGTGGAATTTATTATGTTTCTAAACTTCCAGGTCTTGCCTTTGTTTATGTCCCATTCTTTTTGTCATTGATGGAAAGGAGACTTCAAGACTGGAGAATAAAGTCTGGATAAAATCAATGAACATTGCAAAAGGCAGAGTGAGTGATTCAAGAGTTTCGAAATCCTGCTGAAACACACTAGTTGTCTGCGCCAAGGCTTCAAATTGAGATTTACTGATTGCTCGACAAGTGATGATGTCTGGGGAGTTTCATCTGCATTAATGGTTCTGTCTAATGATTTCACTTTTTTGATAATTCAAGTCCATCTAGTTTTCCTCTGTTACAGTCTCTTTCCATTATAACCTGTTTTTTAGCTTCTTTTTTTGCACTCATTATTTGCTGATTGAAAAAAAAAAAAAAAAAAAAAAAAAAAAAAACTCTCTCTCTTTCTCTCTCTATTGCTTGCTTCCTTCCTACCCCCCCCCCTTTTCTTTTTTTTTCTCTTTTTCTGTCTTTTCCTTTCTATTTTTCTATACATATGTGTTTATGCAGCACAAACTGTTTCGGGTGCTGCAATGATGTACATGAAAGTCGGGAACCCACAATATTGTGCACAACGTGTAGTGTTGCTGATTTGGAATTTATTGAAACGGTTCAGGCGTGATTATGCACATTTCAGCTCGTTGGAGTTGGAGGTGTGTTTCATACTCTCAAGAAGAGAATTTTTTTTGTTGATAATTTGCAAAGTATTCGACTAGAAAGTTGATTATGGGAGTTATTGCGCTCCCGAACAGACTCAGTATTTCATTCTCTGACAATTCGGATATTCTGTTGGGAGATTTGGTTGTTGTTTGCATGATTGTGATTAGATTAGAAGTGAGATGATTTGTTGATACAATACCATATTTGAATATACATGTACTAATTGGATGGAGTTTCATTAATACTGGCAAAACCTCTCTTTTGAACAGTTTTGCAATTAAGGGAGAAGTATTTGTTTTGTCAAATTCACTTGACATTATGAGATTTTGAATGATTTCATGGCGAGAATGAATAAGCTTATATCTATTGTATATACTAGCATATTATTTTAATATACTAGATTATCTTAATTAATTAGTTAGAATAAATAAAACCAAATAGAAGTTTATCTTAGAATTTTGATACTACCACCACAATCAGTCATTCACTTAATATATAGCTTTAGTTTCTATTTTAATTAAAAAATTTATTAATATTTCTAATATATATTTTTAACCTACATCAAAAATAAATTTCTTTCTAACATGATATCATCAAAGGCTAATAAGAATAATTAATTTATATTTTACTGATTTTTTAATATATGTATATATATATATATATATATATATATATGTGTTTTAAATATCAAAAAATAAAATTTATATTTGATTAATTTAAATATATATATGATTTTTTTTATTTAGTATTGACAAAGAATGTGGGTGGCATATAATAGATGGCAAGTTATTGTAACAAAAGCAAAAATTATAGTAGCAATAGCAAAACATTTGGTGGTATTAGTTATACCCTTATCTTAAGATGTTGTCTTTATTGTTGAGAAGTTAAATGATATTAATTGACAACTATAACTTCATAAGTAAGATCTATAAGTTAGATTTTTTTATTTTTTTATTTTTTGTTAATACTAAGAATAAAAAATAAATAAAAATAAAAACTTTGAAAAAATCTATAAAAAAAAGTTTTTACATTAATTTATATTAATTATTACAATAAAACCAAGAAAAAATAACACCAGTATTCTAAAATTATTCTTAGTACAATTAAATTGTCAATAAAAATATTTTTTAAAATTTTAAGAAGTTTTTTTTTAAATGAAAATAAAAGTAAAAATAAGCCACAAATTAAAACTATAAGTTTTGTATAAATTTATTTTAAATTATTATGTTATTTCTATTTACATAATTACTATTATTAAAATATTTTATGATTATGTTGGATCTATTTTTTAAAAAATTTAAAATATTTGATTATAATTTTGTATTGTAATTCATCTATAATATTGAATACTATTATATATTTATAAATTGCTTTGTAATGTTATTTTTGAAGAAAAACCAAGACCGTATTATTATTTTTATTATTATTAAAAGTAATATTTAGAACTCATTTGAATTAAAATTTATACATTTAATTGCTTACATTTGAAAAAATATATTTTAAATACATCTTTAAAAAATCACATAGACTTTTAGGTTTATCTTGCAATATTTACACAAAAAAACTCTAACTTAAATTTATTTAAAAGAAAAAAAGAAACAGAAAATTAACTTCGAAATAAGAAGTTGATTTTATAATATAATAATCACTTATTGCTATTTTTTTGTCAATAAATATATTTCTTTTTAAGCAATAAATATGAGTTTATTTCAGTCAATTGTGAACATAATATATATATATAGCATCATCATCAACAAAAATCATAATCATATCTAATTATTAAAATTTAGAAATACCAATGCATATTGAAATGAATATTTTACATGATTATTTATACCATATACATAGGGTATAAAAAAATACAAAAAAATTATGCAAGTATAACGTTTTTAATCAATTCATCTGTTACTTGGATTTGGGAAAACATTAGTTCCTATTTCAAACTTAATAAATATCTAAAAGTATATTTTTTCCTTTTAGTTTCTAACAATTTTACAGATACCTTGGTTCAATTAAAATTCAATATAGAAACTTAGACTTAAAGTTTTTGATGGTGAGGACTATATGCAACTCATGTCAACATTAATGAATCTAGTTTTATGGCATTTTTGGTACATATACTAGAACAATAATAAAATCATAGTAAAAAATGAAAATATTAAACTTTTATAAATAATTTTTATCAGTATTTTTAAAATCCAAGTTCAAAGTATTTCATCCAGTAGGATATTTATACTTGCCACACTCCACATATTTTACAAAATTGATATTTTGGTGAAGATATTAGTGCAGAAAACTGACCACTTTAGCTTGTAGATCCTTATCTCATCAAGAAAACAACTGATTTTGCTACAAGAGACAAGTTTTTTAAAATATCAAAATTACTCTAATATGAGATGGATCTTCAATTCCAAAGGAAACTAAACAATATATATATATATATATATATATATATATATATATATCTGTGTGTGTGTAAAACAGATTTCCTTTATTCTAAATAAGAACTACTTAAAAATGAATGAATTTAAAAAAAAAAAAAAAAAAAAAAAGTAACTAGTAAAAGTGATAAATACTTTCATGTCAATTAAATCATATACATATAGAAACATGAAATATTCATTGACTCCATGGGAGCCCATTTATCAGACAACGAAAAGGATATCAGGGCTGGAAATACCAACTACCCACCTCCTAATACCCCAAGCCCCATTAATAAAATACCCCTTTTAATAATAATAATAGTTTAATAATAATAATATTTTAATAATAATAATAATACGATGATGAGTGGACTCATCTGAACGAACAGAGTTCACATCCTAAATTAACATTTCAAACAAATAAATAAATAAATAAATAATTAAAGGAAAAGGAAGGCAATGAAGAAAGCCATCCTCAATGGGCATTCACTCAACATAATATAATAAGAGACCCGTGATTCTCCCCGCGGATAGCCACCGCCCACCGGGGTTACCGGTCACAATGGGCACCGGTATACCCCGCTCGATGCCCCCCCACTCAAGCTTTTCTGCATTGTAGCAGGAGCCCTCCCTTCGTTTATTTGTTTGTTTATTAGTTTGTTTGTTTGTTTGTGTGCTTCTTCGCCCCTTTTGCTTTTCCCTCGTGTTTGTTTCATTTGCGTTACCGCACTTCTTCTTCTTCTTCTTCTTCTTCCCTTTGTTTGTTTGTTTGTTTGTTGTTGTTGCCTGCTTGGAATTTCTACAGGCTATGAGTGCTGTGTAATTGTGCTCGGGAAAGGCTGGAGAAGGAGGGAGGAGGGAGGAGGAGCGACATGAGCATGGCGGAAGCGCTGCTCCATCGCTGGAGGAGGCGAGTGGAGGTGGCAGTGGAAACGTGCGGAGGGCTGTACGTGAAGGTGATGCCGCACCGCGACATAAACAAGAACACTTCGTGATTTCAGTACCCTGGCATTTGGACGACTTATGTTCTGATCATCTTGTTCTCGTGGCTCGCAATCGTTGCAGTGTTTCGATGCGAGGCCGGCACCGCATGGACTGTAATCAACCTCGTCCACTTCGCCGTAACGCCTCTCCCCTCCCCCCTCCCCTGCCTCTGTTCTGTAGCTGTGTGCAATCTGTTTCCAGGCGGGCTGATTACGGGACGAGGCTGCTGTCGATTTTATATTTATATTTATATTTGTTTATTTATTTTCTTTCCTTTCCTTTCCTTCTGCGTGTGAGCGTTGCATGAATCGGCGGTCGATTAGGAGTGAATTGTTAGTTCGTGGTTGGTGGAATGGCGCAGACTCTGGGATGATGGTCCCCGAAGCTTTGCTGTTTTTGAACTGGAAATGGTTGTGTTGGATTCGATTGCGAGCAGGCGACGTATAGATTCTTTCATTGGAAGAAAGGGACTCCGTTCGCTGAAGACCAAGGTGATTATGGGAAGCTGACATGGTGGGAGCAAGTGGATGATGGCCGTCAGCTCACTCGTAACCGGAAGTTTTTGACTGTCGTCCCTGTCGTTCTGTACGAATCTTTTACTCTCGGTCTCTTTTGTTCTTTGTGCGGAATTCTCTGAGTTCGATTACGAGGGTGCTGTGTGGAGATCTCTTGCATCTTTATCCGGAGTGAAATGTTTACCTTTGTGGTAATTCTCATCTCAATTATAGTTCGAATTTCAGGCTCCTTCAATTCCAGTCGACATATTATGCGCGATTTTTTGTGCTCGACTCTTGAACAGAAATGATAATGATCTCTCTTGATGTTGAGGTTTATTATTGCTAATGCCTTCATGGCAATCGCATAGCTGGGCACTTATCTTTTTGAAATTAGGCTTAGCTTCTAGATATCATATAGGATGGTCATGTGCATTTATTTTCAGGCAAGCTTGAGATAACATTAGGAGCATCTGTGCCCAGAATACACATCAGGAATAGCGAATCTGTCGAAAAGGTAATTTAATATCATATTTGTTTTGGAACGCTGTCCAGCACTGGGCGTACCTATCTACTCGTTTTGTGGGTCTCTCACGAAAATGTTTCATATTCATAGCGGCGTAACAATATTTTAGAATTACGTATAGCGGGCATTATATCGATTGCACTTCTGCGCCATATCATGGTAAATTGAAATTTCAAATTTTTATCGGTAAATTTTTAGTTGCGTTTTATTTCGTTTCCCTATCGCTTCTGCTAGTTTTAGGTCGATCTGGAGTCCCTGATGAGGCCTCTTTCTGATTGGTTTTGTTCTCTGTGTATAATAGTGAAATACTTCACTTACTGCGGAGTGTGTCACTTCATACTGAACTCGTCTTAAATACTGTCTACACCATAGCACCATTATCTCCTTTAAATGCGGTGACTACTCGATAGATTTGTAAGTTTTTGTTAGGATCAATCTTACGTGAATGCCTAATGTATTACACGACACGCTGTATGGTCCAAATTGTACGTCTCATTACACAGAAAAGTATGTGAAGCTCCTCAATCAGCATTATGAGCTTTATGCCATAGTATCGCTTTTAATTGACCAGCTTGTAAAATTGGTATATGGCAGGTATTTAATAGCTTCTCATACAACGGACTACAGGAATCCAAACCTTTTCTTAAACACGATTGCCGTGTGTTGGTTGGTGATAGCCAAGTTTCCAAACATGCATAGAGTGCGCATATTCGGTATAAACTCTGACTATGACACATAGCCGTTTTGAGCATATATAATTTGGGTACAACTCTTGCATCTGGGACGTGGTTTTGTAAATTCTATGATAGCTCACAAAGGGGCCCTTTGTACAGGTCATCTCTGGCCCTTGGTTAGGAATAGTATTTTTACCAGAATTTCTAGTACAGCGGACCAGCAAAATACGTGTTGGCTTCTCTGCTTACTTTTCAGCTCGTACCATATTCGCGGTGATTAGTAATCTTGTAAGTATTCAATAGTTGGAAAATTGTAGCAAACGAGAAGTTAAGGGCAAATCAGTTGGGGCCGCTTGATTACTGTGGGATGAATGTCCCCATGATATCAGGCACGCCTGAACAGCACTTAGTAATGTGTATTTAATTCAAGGGGGGCGGCTTTGCGGTAATTTCATGGTCGTTAAGACCATATTCTCACTAAATGTTTACCAAGTCAGAATTTCCCCGTATTTTAGTTGGTCGACGTCGTAGTTGGTTCTTCATAAAGACAACCGTAGTGATGTGCTAAATGTGATACTCGCTACTGATGAATTCAGGTAAACGTGCCTCATACTGCAATTTGTTCTTGATTCTTGGTGCAGCTGGTGTCGTTGGTCGTTGTGAGATTCGGCCAAAGTGCAGGGGTTTTAGGTTGTTCCCATCCCTGTCGAGAATCGTTCAGTTATTTTGCAGAATTGGTGTTGTAACAGAGATAATATTGCACTGAAATAATGGTTTCAATAAAAAAAAAAAAAAAAAAAAAACTTCACCATGAACAAACTTATGCATGTTCACCCTCTGAGAGCTTCCGAGATGGATAGTGGGACATGACGATTCGTCAAACGGGATTTCATCACTTGCATCAATATTAATTTCAAGAGATAAGAGAAATGACCATGGCCCACAGTCTACAACTCTGCATGATAACTCACAGTTCATGCCAGGTCTGTTCTTCGAAACGTTCTCATGACCACATTATCACGCAAAAGAGCAGAGCGATGGGTTTCATGCGGCCGGGTCTTTATTTGCTCGTTTTTCCGAATAGCAAAACTTTAGAGTACATTCAACTACTGTAATCCGACAACTTCGAAGCATGCTTCGAAGCACCCTCTCAGAATGGAGAGAAGTTGGGATTTCATCCTGGCTATGCAGAAACTGACCATGAACGTGCCGATACCTCATGTTTGTCACATTCACTTACGAAGATTACGCCAAAAGGTGGGTCACTTTCAATTACTTGCGCTACTTCCGAGGGGATTGGCAATGGCAACGTGCCATCGCAAAGCTACTCACACTGACCAACGCTTAACTGCATCGAATATTACTGTCATTCGAGCTGTGCACAACTCCAACAGGCGTACAGCTCCAACTCCAACAGGGTTTACTAAGCGTGGTTGTACCATTACCCTCCTGATTGGAGCCAGAATTGACCAAGATCGTGTCTGTGGCCAACAGTTTTGTCTCTCCAATACAATGTCACAGGCACTTGAAACGTGGGTTCTGCCACATTCTATACAACTCCAAGAAGCTTGTGGCGCCGTCAAGGGATTCCAGATTTGGGGTCTTCCAATCCAAATCACTAGCTAACACAAGTGCTATGAAGTACCACTGGTAAAATAATGAGAGCTATGGATTGAGAGAACAAGAGATTATGCTTCGAGACACGGCGAAATTCGCTACCTCTGCGGGTTATTCTTTCACGTCAACGACGCCCTCGTTGGTGATCTGAAAGCGAGCCTCCTGTTCTGCCAAGCATGGGGAGGCAACCACCTTAATTACACGTTCCTCACCACGACCTTTCCGCACTGATAACCTGGTAGTAGATGCATGGGCGATAATGTTGCCGCCAATGGGTTTGAATTGAGGACCATTGAACATCGCAGAGCCGTCAACTTGAGCTACCACCTGATTTGTTACCACCACAGCAATACCGAATTCATCTGCCATCTTCTGGCAACCCCGAAGAAACTTGGCAAGGTGGAATTGACGGGCTGCAAGCTCCCCTCTCCCGGAGTAATCCGTCCTGTATAATGCTGTCGCACTATCTACCACCATTAGGGCAAACCTAGTCTCGGCCATCATGGACGCAGCCTCAACTAGCAGCTTCGTCTGATGGTCGGTATTGTACGCTCGAGCATAAGCCACATTGTCGAGAACATCTTGTCCATTTAGGCCATACTTCTCTGCAATTTGAAGCAACCGCTGAGGTCTGAACGTGCCCTCTGCATCGATGTACAATGCTTTCCCCTCACCTCCACCCTGGTCTAACGGGAGCTGACATGTGACGCAGAGAGTATGACAGATCTGGCTCTTACCCGAACGAAACTCTCCGTAGATCTCTGTAATGGAGCCCGTCTCAATGCCGCCTTCGAGAATGCTATCAAACTCCTTGGACCCAGTGGTAATTTGAATGAGCTCCGCCCGCTGCTCATGCATCTGCTTAGCGCTAGTGAAGCCCATAGGAACAAGTTTCCCCGCTGCTTCAATAATCTTATCCACCTTAGCATCGCTCAGCCCCTTGATATTCACAAGATCTTTCTTCGCGGAGTAAGCAACAGCTTCCACAGTGCAATACCCCGCGTCCTTCAGCTTCTTCAAATCAAGCGCACTAATACCACAACTCTGAAGATGCTCGACAAGGTATGGGCCATGGTGAATCTCTTCCTCCGTCGCCGCACTGGTGGTAGCTCCTTCAGTGGCTGCACTGGCAGTGGCCATAATGTAGAAGCAAAAGCAAAAAAACGAAAATACGGGAAGAAAGCAAGGTGAAGGAGGCGCAACCCTAATCAAGCAGTGAAGAGGTTAGAAGCAATAACTGGGTCAAGGAGAAGGCGGCGATGCGATGTGGGGGAAGGAGCGATGCGAGACTACACGAGACAGAGTTTAATGCACAAGTAATCCCAGCACTAAGCTAACATAATCAAGGGGCAAGTGACGAAGAGGGATTGAAGAAGAAGCTTGAAGCAGAAGCAGGGGCAGAGAGAGAGAGAGAGAGAGAGAGGAGGAAGACTGTTTGTTCATGTGTCGTTTGACGCTGCTTTGGATGAAGCTCCTTCTTAGCAACAACCCATTTGGCCTCGGCCTTTGCAAATGTAATTTGGCGCCTTCGCTGAAGATTCGAAAAAGGTCGAGTCATTCCTTCGGCGGGCCCTCCACCACTGCCGCGCCCCACATTCACTGTTCATCAATTGCTGCTCTTGCTCCGCTTGCCCCTCTCGCTCATCCATCATCCATCCTCTGAAAACAAGTGCAACCCAACATCCACCCTTCGTCCCCAAAATCCTTGAATACGTGTGCTGCTAGAGAATTCGAATCCAGAATTGGGTACAAGTAGGTTTCGGCGAATGCAACAAAAAAGAAAAAACATCTTCCCATCGATCGAGAGGGTCTTACTGTTCACCAACTAGGCTAGAAATGAGGGTTTGTGAGGACTGAAGAACATTCGCTCTACAGGGAGCCAGGACCTCGTGAGATTGAAGTGAGAAATCGTGTTTCGATAATTATACAGTTGTAAAATATTGAGAAGTAGGATAGATTCACATGAAGGTGGGCCACAGGAGAGCATAGACTGTGCAAGTACGTCGAGGAAAGTCGTCCACAAGGATTGCATGGACACAGTACCTTCACTTAGATCACATGCGAAATTTTCTAATAGCCAAATTTGGTTCCGAGGAGTCAAAAACGTATGCAACGTGTCACAGAAGAGGTGAGTGCGGATTTCTTTAATCCAGCAGGAGCTCAGGGAGTGTTCTGCTGAATCTGAAGAGATGCCTTGTATCCACCAGATTTTTTTCCCTGTGAACTTTCTGGAGGGTGTTGCCACACTCTAGCGATGGGAGAATTAGTGCAAATATGAATGGAACGTTTTATATATGTAGACCAACTGCTGTCAAACATTCTTCCGAACTTGAAAGACAAGTTAGCGTAGTCGACGCATTTGGTGTTGTCAAAAGTCAAGTAATCCGTGTAAACTTCATAGTTGTCGCAGGATTAGAACAACCGGTTTCGATTGGACGAAAATCCGAAGCCAGAAATTCGAGGCTTCCGAAAGACTTGCACTAGTGTGAGACAATGTTTTGGATGAAAATGTGTTTTAAAGAGCAATGGAGGCGACAATAATTGTAAGGGGGGGGGTATCCATCGAGACTAAATCGCCACCGAACACCAGATGATTCAAGCCGCAAATTTGTGGTATTGATTGATGGCCGACGCTTGTGGATGGAGAGCGGAGTCAACTCACAACCGTCAATAACTTAGATCTGGAATGAAATCCTCGCCTCAATTTCATCTCGGTTTGGCTTGCGAGCATCTTCTCAATGACCAACACACAACAAATTCACTGCTAATCACATCACCATGCAGCCCATCTGAAGTTTGTCAATGTGTGAACCCGGGTTGTTATAAATGGGAAATCATGACGTAATCCCTCTGTATACAAGGATGGAATTGCTCACCCTCTAATAATGCCAGCACAATGGCTCCTACGTTGAAGGGAGCGGAGCATTAAAACAACCATAGCTTAAGTTGGGCACCTATACAGATAACTGAGGAAGCAAGAAAAAGTCCATCAAAACGATGCACAAATTTGGTAATTGAATGGAAACTCCTTCCTACTTGCTTCAAAAGTCCCCTTTGCTGCTTCTGCATTCGAAACCGCTTGGGGTGTGTTTCATCCATGCGACGGGCAAAAATTAAACATGCCACTCGACTTTTCAGTGCCTTGGCGGATGGCTTCTGCTCAAGCTCAGGCCTCATCGTTAAACTTCTCGAAATAAGTGTCTTTTTGTGGCCAAGAGGACCTTTTGCCTCTTTCTTTTGTAAAAGAAGCTGCAAGTCCACATAATTGTTTAATGAGAAAGGCACGATCTAAGCCAGTACAACACTGCCTCATTCCCGAGTATTCGTAATGAGGACCGTCACGCTCAATCCCGACTTATCAAGTGGAACTAACCAACTTAAACATCCTCAAATACAAAGGCCAACTGGGTGATACCTGTTTTTGAGCCTTCTTCCCTTTGGGCCACTTCACATTCAACGTAGTCGTACAGACCTCCACCTTAGGATTGGAGGGGTCATCTCCACCCTCTTCATGTTGCCTAAGTGCTGCAAAGACGTCCATATCCTGCATTCGGGTGGCTTGTTTAATTGATTCTACTCCAAAGACATGGTCAATATAACTAAGCAGCGAGTGCTCCTTGACACCTTCCATCGAGCCCATATTCATGTGGAAACTTAAGTGGTTTCCCATCTTCCAGCGCTCCATGTCAGCGTACTCCAAGAAATTTGTCTCTGTGTCAAGCAAAACCATATGACCTGCAAACGCATATCCGGAGCCTGACTGGTGGGAAAGAGCCAAAGCCAGCGTACGGTGGAGAAGAAACCGCAATAACGAAGGCAGCCAAGTCATAGCTTGCGTGCCAGCTACGACGAACGGCAGCTTTTTAGGCTTCACCTTCAACACTTGAGCAAAGAGCAGAGCAACGCGCGTCAAGTGCATCAGTTCCCTGAAGGGTCCGACACCAAGCCCAGCCCAAATGGTGTAAATCGTGAAAGCAACCGGCATCACCTTAGGCACGATATCGTTCCGAGACACAATATGGACCAAGTGGCGCTTGTAGCGTTTATTGATGTACCTATTGCACGCAGTTGTACGTACAAGTTAAGACCACACACAGGGGTACAAAAAACAATCAAACGAGCAATCATAAATCAAAGGTGGTTTGAAATCTATGCTACAATTTTGCGTGCTTTCTGCTCGCAAGTTCATTATTCACTATGAATGATTATGAGATTTTAACTTTGTATATTCTTAACCCGGATGATTTGTACGCACCTCGCGAGACGGTAGTCTGCGAAGAATGGGCAACCAAATGTGTAGCACTGCACCTGATCATGACACCACTTTCCAGTTGACTCAAGAAGCCTGGAAGTGGGAAACACTTCAATAAAACATTTGAAGATGGACTTGGGGGAAAGGGAATTAGACAATGCTCTTGTAATTTTGACAATCAACACTTGAAGCAGTCAGAAAGGGAAGGGACGCTGTTGAAACATAAGATTACACATTGCCAACTCAAGAATCCTACTCTGATGAAGCACTTATATAGATATTTTGACCACGTCACCTTAGGGTGAGAAGAGAGGCAACGGCGCCACCAAGGGAGTGACCTGTGAGCACCAGGCGCTCACCCCGGATCAACAACCTTCGAAAGTACTCCAATGGGATTGACCTCGCCCTATCCAGGAACCCACCGTGCGCTGCTCCAGGTAGCAAGGTCATGGTTCGCTGCATGAAATTCAGATCCACGAGTGCATCACTCACGTCGTTGGTCCCGCGACATGCTACCACGTAATGGTTATCCGCTAAAGACCGCACCACGAGTAGGGGTTGCTTGCAGTGCCCAAATCCGTTTTCACGCAGCACTTCGTCGGGAATAAACTCATAATTTGCAGTAGATGGCAGCCCGTATTCCCGTTCCATTAACTTCAGTTCATCTGCAGGTTTTGGGCTGTAAACTACGGCAGACAAGATGATGGAATCCACCAACCAGGTTGGATGCCTATCGTCCTTGATTATCTTCCCTAAGCTCGCCATGATTCCTCTCCTTTTCAACTGCCCTCTGGACTGCCTGTTGTGCCACCGGATGTAACGACCTGAAGGACACTAATGGCTACTTCCACCTTCTTTTATGTTAGTCGAAATGGGGGGAAAAAAAACTCTATCTCTGTCAAAAGTCTGCGCGAACCGGCCGATCAGGAGCCAATTCAGGCGAGGTTTCGCTCCTCAAATCCTCTCCACACCCAGGAGCTCCGCTAACTCCATTCCATAGATCCATTCAATCCACGAACAACAACAACAACACATCACCAATAACTAAACCGGCGACTAATTCCAATCACAACAAAGATACATCTACGACCCCATTTTCGCGCACCACATCCAGAACCCAATCCGCAAACAGAAACCAAACTTCCACAAAATGTGTTCCTTGCGCACTGAAACAAAAACCCATTAGGCTGCGCACGCGACTTCCACAGCAAGATTGACCAGCAGGCCTCATGCAGAAGTAGAAGCAGCAGCAGATCTTCCCATGTCACCTCCACAACTCACTCACTCAAGCACCCACCCACCCACAAAACACATCCATCCCCTACCCCTGGAGATGAAAACAGGTGGAGCTCGCAGAATTGCAAAGGGGCAGAAGAAGAATACTTCTCTCTCTCGCTCTCTCTCTTTCATGCGAGGAAATCGAGACTGTGCAGATGAAAAAGTCAATTGTCGTGAAGCGCATGGCCATTCGAATCCCAGAAAGAAAGCAAGCAAGTCAGTCCCTGTGGACCCCGTCCCCCCTCGCCTTGTGACCAGCAAGCAGCCCCCCTTGTGAATTAATATACTAATTCCTTGAGTGTCCCACCTCTTCTTCACCCTCATCGCTTATTCTCACTCACTCACACAGATTTCCACATCCATCTGCAGAAACCAAGCAAGGCAAATAAATGCAAACCAAAAGATACTAAATGAAAATTATGTCATTGAAAGTCACTAAGGTTGTTGCAAAAATCCTCTACCTTATTGGTTCTTTGGAGGTATATAGAGACAACTACAATCAAAGAGATGTGGAGCTTTCAACTACATCATGTTGCAAGAATATGGAATCTTATTCAACAAGGTGCTTAGCTAAAGATGTGAGATATTTTATTCTTATTAAAAACAAAAGATGATGTCTTTGTAACTTAAGAGTGATATTTTAGCAACAACTTTTATGAAAGAATATACATAAGATATATATATATATATATGTATTATATATAAGTATTATATATATATATATTGATGATAATATATTAAAGAAATGATATTTTTAATGCTTTTGGAAGAAGTGGAAATTAATATTTTTATAAACATGTTTTTAAAATAGCATCACAATAAAAAAAATCAAAATCAAAATCAAAGAATAATATGAATTTTTTGCGAAGTTGACAACACACTCAAAATTAAAGCTCATGTCAAAGACATGAATTGAAAGAAGATGCATAAACTTGTGAAATTTATATTAAAAGAAAAATGATAAAATAGAAATAAAGAAGTATGTATATTAAAAAGGAATTGGAATGGCTATTCCTAAAAGACAAGGAAACTAGAGACTCTCAAATCTAGACTAGAAGCAAAAAAAGAATTGACAAGAGTGAAGAAGGCTTCACTCTTACCTCTATATATACTATCTACCTACGTTCTATGTAGCGACATTCTATAGGACCTCCAAAAACGTATTAACTTTGTATGACACATAACTTGACTTGCAAGGTAAGTTTTCTATACGAGCACCACATAATTAACTTATTCTACAAGCTACCAATACATGTGGCATATGATTAGCTTGTTGATCAAGTTTTTAACCTATCAATCAACTACAAACACATATAAGTCAAAATAGCATCTAAAAAGCTTCTAAGAAGCTTCTTTAGAAGATATTATGAAATTTATCTACTTTTACCTACTTCTATCTATTCATATTATCTAGATAATAATTATAGTAGATATATATCCATGACATTACATTCCCTTCTAAATACAAGTTTCAGAAGGAGCGATGATCATATATTAAGGAAGACTAACATATGGCAAATTATATTTGCCACATATTTTATTCTTTATTTCTTTTGAAGGTAATTGATAGGTCCTCTTAGCCATCAATAATGTTCTATTCTAGGGCAAAAAGACCACTTTGTGATTTAATCATTGTTGAAATCTTTATAACTTCTTTCAAACAAAATATTTGTAATACTATTGGAAATTGTGCCTATCTTAAATAAAATCACCAAACACCAAGAGACTTTTTTCATGTCGTGATACTAAACACATTGTATCTCGATATCTATTTGAAAAAAAAAAAATGTCGTTCTTGAAGGTCTTCATCTCTATTACATCATCATGAAGGTTGTGATATTTGTAATATCTTATCAGATAAGTTAATAAATGATGGCTCTTCAGTTGAATCTGCCGACTATTGATTCTCCATCTCTTTAATATCATAATAATATAAAAACCACAAATAATAATAAAAGGTAGAATGCAATCCTTTTTGAATTATATTTTTTTTATAACAAAGGTTTGCTATCCTTTATCTTGATTTTGATGGATGTTGTTGATGAAAAACTTGATCTTTTTTTACTGCATTTGTAAGATTTTTTGTTGGTTCTCATGTGTATTTATTAATATTATATCTGTGCCAATGGACAAGATATTTTAACTTATTTTGGTACTACCTTGAGTCTAGAATTTCTTCTACTTCAAATTCTTCATCATTGTCTACTTCTATAGGAGGAGGTGGAACTTATCTTCTTTTTAGTATGTTCACAGTCTTATATGATTCAAGAAAAGACATGTGAAATATATGATGGATCTTCATTGACTTTGATAGATGTAATCAATAAGTAACTAGATTGATTTGTCTACAAATAGGAAAAGATCTAAGGCCTGTAGTAGTCCAACTTATCACAAGGACAAGTAGTCATGATATTAGGACAAAGTAACCATATCTTATCACATATATAGAATTGTAGTTATTCCTTTTGATAGGCATCTGTGTTGATCTTTTATCATTCTTGAATTTCTTTTAATTTCGCCTTCATTATTACATGTAGTTCTAAGAAAAGATTTCCCAAATCTTTTGCCACAAGATTATCAACTTTTAAAAAGTCAAAAATATCAAATTATAGATGATAACCATAATTGGCAAAGAAATGTGTTGGTTGCATAGAAAAATACATTGTATTAATATAAACAAATTCTGCCAATAACAAGAAGATTGTCCAATTGTCTTATTGATAATTGATAATACACCTTAAGTATTGCTCCTAAACTTAGTTTATACACTCTATCTATCTATCAGTTTGAGGATGAAAGGTCAAAGAAAGTTTTATGTCCACCTTAAAAATCTTATAAAGGATTCTCTAAAATCTTGATACAAATTGAGTCCTCTTATTTGAAATAATATTTTTTTGGCAATCCATGTTATTGATAGATATTATCAATGAAAAGCTTGGCAGTTTCTTTATTTGTGATAGATTTTGTACATAGTATAAAATATGCCATTTTGATGAAATGATCTACTTTCACAAATATAGAATCACATCAACTTGAAATTAGAAGATTTGTAGTAAAATCCATAGAAACAAAAGACCATGCTTATTCTACAATAGGTAGTAGCTGAAGAAGTCCTTCAGGTTGATGACAAGGAATTTTTAACCTTGAATAAATGTCATATGATTGAACAAAGTCTTTTATAGCCTTCCACATTTGTAGCCACTAAAAATCTCTACATATTAGTTCCAAAGTCTTATTGTATCCAAAATGTCATGCTATTAAAAAGTCATGACGTGCTTGAAGAACATGTAAATATGCTTCTCTTTTTGGAACATATTGACATCCTTCAAAATAAAGTAGGTTGTTTTTGAAATCAGACTTGAAAGTATCACAAGATTTAGAAGAAATATTTTTGATATCATGAATAAGAGGATCAAAAAAAATACTTGATTAAATTTGCTTGAAAAAAGTTAAATCAATAATAAATATTAATTTCACTATTCAAAGATGAAATTCTTTTGGCTTCAATAAAATTATCTTTTTTTTTATCAAAAGCTGCATCTCTTTCTTTTGGTGTAAAATAAGAATGTCTAAAAAAGATATTAAACAAACCTTATTATTTTTTTTGCTAATAAGTGATATTGAACCTGAATTTTGACAAAAACATGCTCCAATAAGTCTAGCGACAATTCAAAACACATGTTTTTGTGATCCATATATATGGTTATTGAACTGAAAGAGCCTTCTACACAATGAAGCCATTCATGATTACAAGAAGTTCTCTGTCATAGATCTCATAGTTAATCTTCATTACTGAGAATTTCTTGGAATAAAAAGCTACTTGGTAGAGCTTGTCATCTTCTCTTATTTGTGACAAAACATCACCAATAGCAAAATATGATGCGTTTATTTCCATAAAAAATGCCTTAAAAAAATTAATGCAATATAAGATTGGTGCATAAATAAATACCAACTTCAAGGCTTCAAAAGATGCTTCAGCTTCTTTGCTCCAATTAAGTTTGTCTTTGAATGTAAGACGTATAAAATAAACTGTAACTTGAGAATTTTTTTTTGATGAAGATCCGATGTAATTGGAAAAGCTCAAAAAGCATTGTACATCTCTTATTATTCTTAAAATCTTCCAATCTATAATAATTTGAACATTTTTTGGATCCAACATAAGTCCTTCATTGGAAATGATATATCCTTGGAAGTCAACTTGAATAATATAAAATACACACTTTTTCAACTTGGTGTATAATCTCACATGTCTAAAATTTGTAACACATGATAAATATGAATTTCATACTCTTTTGTGTTCTTAGAATAGATCAAAATATTGTTTAAGTAACAAACAATAAAATCATCTAGAAACTCATAAAACGCATCACTCATAAGATGTTGAAAAGCAGCTGATATATTTGTGAGTCCAAAAAGCATGACATTATATTTAAACTGTGCATACCTTGTTCAAAATTCAGTCTTCCATTCATCTCCTTCTTTAATGCAGACCAAATTATATGCTTTTCATAGATCTATTTTCGTATAGATATTAGCATGATTTAGTTGATTAAGAAGTCTAAATATTAAAGATAAAGGATATCTATTCTTGATGGTAATCTTGTTGAATCTTTGATAATCTATACACATTTTCAATGATCTATCTTTTTTCTTCACAAATAAGATAGGAACTCTTGTAAGAGATTTCAAATGACATATGAAATTCTTGGCCAAGTTCTTGTCAATGTATTTCTTGAATTCAACTTACTCATTTTGTGATAAACTGTAGATTAAACCAAATAATGGCTGACTTCCTTCTTTAAGGTCAATTGGATAATTATATCAATAATTTTTCAAGAAAATATCTACATTCTTCTTTTCAAAAACATCTTGAAAATCTTGATATTGATTTAGAATGCTACTTGAAGTCTTTTTATCATTAAAAATAGATGTGGTATAAATAACAAAAGGTGATCTTTCTTTTGTAAAATGTAAGAAAGCTTTTGCTCCTACAAGTATGGATTTGGTTATATTAGATTCATGGCTTTTCATAAAACTTTTAATAATACTTTGAAGGAAGTCAAGTTTATAAAAAATCCAATCTATTAGAAGAATATAC